TGGTATTCGTGTATCCAGGGTAAGGAATAATGAATATCTGAAACAAAAAAATTTACAGAAATACATTTCCAAGAATAGGTCCGTCATACCTTCTTTTATATTGTATGATTTTGTGCATAGGTATCATGTTTATCTATAACTACAAATTATTGTAATGTATTGTACGGCGTCTACAAATTATTGTAAAGAAGACCAACGCATTCAGTAAAAAACGTTGATTAGGTTTTCTTGCGCTAGAAAAAGGGGTTTGTATTAAGATAATGTGCTTGCTCTGAACATTAGCGGTCAACTTGAAGTCCGTACCTGTCGCTGCAACCAGTTGCAACTGTAACAGATATTCTACGGTAGATGCATGTTAATGTACATCTGCTTACTTGTTTGTTATTTAAGCACCAACCTGTTTACACAAAAAACAATGACTCTTGGAGGTATGAGCACAAAAATATGATACACACACATGTATTTATTATGTATACGAAATAGAGTGCTTTTTGTGTATATATAAACACTGAAATTTTCAGGCACAGGCCATGTTAGTGTAAAAACTACGTTACTGCAATATAGTTAAAAAAACGTGAATATATAACTTCAATGAATGTTTTAAATGTACAGGTCTACTTTACATGTACGGTATGTTACCTCGAATACTATGAAATTCAAGAATTGAAGGTTGTCAGAAATGCAGTACCAGCTCGGTCCTCTGTTCATATATGAGGCACTGTAAAGTCGTAGAAGTTAGGCGAAACATTTGACTCCATATTCCACTTATCCAGAAATCCTGTAACCATGAACACTATGCTAGGTCAAGCATCATTGAGAATGATAAAAGCGACATTGCCTCACTGCTGTTGGAACTTTCCTTTTCCGAGTCAACTACGTTTGCAATATCAATGCTAATTTGTGTCGACAGAACACCGAAGACGTTAAAAAGAAATTGAACAAAAACACTCATCATTCATTTGGTAAGTCATTTCAGGTACACACATTTTGTTTGTAAACCCAGCTTGAAGTTGTCGATTCAAAAACACAAGCTTGTTTACCTCTTCTCAAATTTGCAACAATTCGGGCTGTCTAGGTCTTCATCTGTGTTCAACCAGACGGCTTTTTACAATACGAACAAACATATGCAGCTCTGATGGAAAAGAACATCGAGAACGACAAAGACGTTCTGAGAACACTCGCGGAGTATCAGTAGGATCTTGAAGACGCTCATATGCAATCTATAACTACGTTATTGCTCTAGGTATGTGCCATTTTTGGTTTTTCGGATGCGGATTGCTTATAAAATAGGTTAACCTACGTTTTGACGTAGGACGGGACTGCGGAAGGGGACAGTGGTAGGGTCATACTGCAGCTTTTTGGAACCCAATATATCAGCAACCTTCTAGCTTTGATATATATATATATATATATATATATATATATATATATATATATATATATATATATATATATAGGGTGGCCCACCCATGTGTGGATGGAATACTACTCATGAACAAATACATTATAGGAAAATATATTTATGACATGTTATACATGACATTTGAGGGCACATTTCTAAAATATTGACAATTATACACCTACATATCAAAGTTGTAATTTTTTAAATGGAATGCCTCAAATTTTATTGCTTATTTGGAAACCAATTCAAAAGAAGAAGATTGATATAGCATACTAGCTCATAGGACAGCAGTCAGAGCAGCAGCATCTCAGACCTGCCAACAAGTAGTTCAGGCTGTCGTTCAGTCATTCGCGATGCATCTAACCTTTGAGGTACATTTCGTGTTGGTGGGTAGCGTTGCCCGGGTCTTTTCTTGGTCTTGTACAATATAAGCAGGTTAGATAGTGAGAGGTGCTTCCTAGCTCTTAACATATAGTGCGTGCTCTTTTTAGTAGCTACTGCAATTGAAGAAATAAGTGCACACTGGTACCTTATTACCGCTTTAGCGATCTAAACTTCGACAAGCAGAAACGACTAGGAAGCTGACAAGGCTCGGTCATCCATCAAAGTTGAACATGCATTTGGATAATGGTAATGATAATCTTCTATTCTTTTGTCATAGAGGAAGTCGCTAGCAAAATTTTTCTTTCCCACCCAACCGCGGGATGCGTCTGGACTTGTAAATCCCTGCACGTAAATGCTGCGCCTAGTCTAATACTGGCCCAACATAAATTCATTAAAACACAATGATTGCATTGATTATGGTGCAGTAGTGCAAACAGACCGCCTCTATTTATAGTAATCTTTAATATTCCCTACTGCCGTTTCCGTTGGACAACTCACGAAGTATAATTAAGGTCGGCCAATTAGGGCGCGTTTTCCGTCGACCGTCGGCTGTGCAGTGATACACATCATTTATCACAACGTTATTTATCGCACTGGTGGTGGTCGCAGCCTGCTGAAAATGCGCAACCAGCCTTCTGGATATCGTTAATCTAGGACCGAAGATTGTCTTTTGTTTCGTTATAGGACAAAGTCCTCTGTAGAAGCAAAGCGATAAAGAATATAATTATCTACTAAATTGTTCTTTATCGCATAGGGCCGATGGTTTTTAAGATCTTCGATCGAAAAATGCCAGCAAATGCTCTAATCCTATCAAAATAACAATATCAATGTATGATTACCAAGCAGTAAATTTATCGATACCACCAAAAGGATACTGCTGCAATATTTATAGAAATAACTTAGCTATTTCCTAGCGAACTTGAGACAGTGCCGACTATAGTTGCTGTGTATAGTAGCTGTGACTTCCCTTTGCTGACGTCCCGATAGCCACTTCTACATAAACTTGTGGTGGACATGTAGTCCAGGTTGTCTGGAATTAAAGTCAAAATAGAAACGGACGCTCTGGAAACTTGGCAATCACACGTTTTCTCGAAAAAGGGTTCCTCGTAAGTTCCAGGAGGCTGGAGAAGTTGTATACCGGCTGCCTCTAATATAACCTGGATAATGGTGATTTAGTGCCAAACCTCATAAATTTAGATATCAACTACCATAATCAGCATAAAATTCTATATCCCATATTCATATTTGTTATAGACTGAAAAATACGGGAATAATTCAGGTTGTTAGAAATGCCAATAGTAATTAGAGGCGGAACTTATAAAACATGTTTTCAGCGTTAGGGCGTGCATCACAATGTACCACAGTTCTCCCAGGGCACCAATGACTGGCATTCCCACAACTCTAGCAGTCTTTGAAAAGGTGGTATAAAGTAAATGTCTTAAAAAAATCTGTAACTTTAAGAAAGAACCGCCAACCCGCTCAGTGCGCATGCGACTAGCGACTACTCCCCCACCAACAGCAGTTGTGTGCGCTTTTTTCTGTTGGAGCAGGTATAGTCTAGTCTTTTATGGTCTAGTCTAGTGTCTAAGGCCCGTATCGTCAGTCGTCCCTACAATTGTAGGGCGCGTTTATGGCCTCCTTGATTGTCATAGTTTTCTCCTTCTCCGTGTCAGCGCTCTATTTTGAGGTTATGTCACAAACATCTTTTTTTTTTTTGTTTGGCATTGGAAGTTATCCATTTGCCACAGATGTGTGTTACTTATATTTCTCTAATTATGGACAAACACACGACGTCACAACATCCATGGCGAAGGCGAGATTCGAACTCGCGGCCCGGCCGGCCGGCTGATCAGTAGCACGACGCTCTGACCAACGCGGCCAACCGAGGCCCCTCACAAACATCTATTTGCATCAAATTGTGCTTGCTTTTGAGTTTTATCATGCTTTTTCAGCCTGAAATTTCCTACAATTTAAAAGGAAAACATATCTTAACAATAGCAGAGCGCTGACGCTGACATGGGACGAGTGTAATCTAGAAATTTTTGAAGGAGAGAAAAGAGTATGACAATCAAGGAGGCCATAAACGCGCCCTACAATTGTAGGGACGACTGACGATACGGGCCTGAATTCTGTACCAGTCCGGAGTCCGCAAGAAAGTTTGGCTGAGAAGTGAACAAGCGGAGTTTTGTTGATCTGGTTGGTATTAACGCTATTCGCTATGTTCTATTGATTTTTTATTTTCCACGTATAAGCCAAAAATTTAATTTTTGATTGATTTTTATTTTTATACAATAAAAGAATCGTGTCTAAATAATCACATACGAAAAATTGGAAATTAAATATAATTTCATCTATGTCCATTTTTTCTCGGAAGTCCCTGTGTATAAGCACTTCAGTATATTTCGTTCGTCCGAGATGGCAAATTATATATTTAGTTTTTGAAAACTGCGTGAACTTAAGAAATCTTGTTTTCCAAACAGAAAAGGTTCTTTTTTATGAGATACGTGAATGCGTGGAAACCAATAGTGCCGCTTATTTGACAATATTTGTGTAACTTTTAGTGCTGGCTGACGGCTGCTGTTGTCAGAATGAGTAAAAGGAAACAGAATACCTTCGATTGGTTCCTTTCTAAACAAAACAAACTGTCTGATCCACCGGCACAAGAATTACCGGAAAAAACTGATGATAATCCTACAATTCAACCTGAGCCTTCAACTTCAAAATTTCTTGATGTTGCACCGTATGCTGAACCAAGTGTTGAACAATCGGGTGCGAAACGCAAAGGATCCAATTTTGTTGATGTTGCGCCATATGTAAATTTCAGCAGCAGCTTGTCTTCCCATGAAAAATATAGCTTATTGGGGTGTGCAATGATCCCTAATGACTCTTTCAAATATCCCTATTCCACACACTTGAAAAATAATAAAGAAGTGAAATGTTACTTATCAAAAAAATACTTTGAAAAATTTCCTTGGCTGTCATATTGAAAGGAACTAGAAGGGCTTTTCTGTAAATATTGGGTGGTTTTTGCAGAATTAGGAGGAGTACATAAATTAACTCAATTGGGAAAACTTGTTACCGTACCACTAAAGAGATCTTCGAAATTGTATGGCAAAACCGGTGATTGTGAGACACATGAGACTTAATATATCATAAAGAAGTAGTTTCAGATGCTACAAACTTTTTAAAGATTTACGAAAATCCAGAGAATGATATAAGAAATATAATAGATTCAGAGCGAATTAAGCAAGTATCAGAAAATCGGCAATGATTGACTCCTATAATAGAATCTATAATTTTTTTAGGACGCCAAAATGTACATGATCCATAAATCACAAATGCCAATCGTATTGCGGTATTGTTATCAAAAACATATTTACGAGGACTTCATGGGATTTGTTAGAAGCTACCCAAATTTTGATGAGGATACAATGGAGCCCAAACTCACAGGTCAAATTCTTGCACACACAGTCAAGCATTTCATTAAAACCAATAACTTAGACTCAAAACTATGTGTGTGCATTGGTAATGATACGCGTAACCTAATGTAATGGAATTGCAAAAATGTTTGCCAAATGCTCTTAGAAGGCCATGCGCATATCATGCCTTGAATCTTTCGATTTCAAAAAGTAGCAGTGTCCAAGCAGTAAGAAATACTGTAGGTATAATGAAGGAAGTAATTGCGTTCTTTAAAGCATCCGCTAAAAGAAATACAGTATTAAAAATAAAACTAGACGGATATCAAATTCATAGTATGTGCGAAACACGATGAACCGAGAGACATGACTCTGTGCTCTAATTTGAAAGCAAATTCGAGAAAATTGTAGAGGTACTAAATATTATATCAAATTGGAAAGATCGCGAAGCTTCTTCAAAAGCGGAGTGGTTTTATTTATTGGCCAGCAGATTGATATAAACGTCTGTTCAAATTCTGTTCAAATCACTTTCTAAGCTAATGTAATAATTAATGAATATAGTTATGCAATGAATATTTTTTGTATTTTTCTCATGTTTAAGAATTTTATTTTGATTTACATTCAGTTTTATACTTTATAGAAGTCGTAAGATATTTGTTATTGTTATTTTTTTCATGAAGATGTATTTTTTGTTGTTTTGTTTGACATTGTTATGTAGAAAAGTCTGGGATAGATTATATCATTTTTCATTTTTGTTTTAATATATGAAGGTTGCTCGAGCTTGGTTTGCTTTATTAACACTTTGATTTCGTAAGATTCAAAATTAAAAAAAAAGGTGTATGTATCTTCTACAGAAATTACTGAAACAAATTCATATGTCTGCATATGTCCATGCTTTTAATGTAAAATAATTATAATACTTCAGTACGTTACGCTGAGAATTTACTTTCCATTTTACCCCCTCCCAAACTGAAATCGTGGAAGCTCCTTTGGCACCACTTGACATAATATAAACAAAACACCTGCCTTCGATGCGTCCAAATATCGAGTCTATAAACGTTATCTGCTACCTCATCTTAGGCGGAGGTGTTGGTGATATATTCAAGGGCATGCAATCATGAGTGGTCAAATCGGTATGTAAAATTGTAAGGTCTGAAAAGGACACGGACGCTCCGGAAACTGGACTACAATGTATCTGTTTTGCTTGGCTTGGCATAACCTCATGTACGACCTAGACCTCAGACGCTATTTGGAAGCCAGGTCAAATAGCAGCTATGTTCTTTGACATCACATCGACCAACTAATTTACCTACTTGTGACCACTTGACCTCATTTACGGAAAATTCTTGACCGTTTATATCAATTCGAGTTATAAATCCTTAGGATTCAGTCAAACTAAAAATACAACGTTTCGGCGATTTTAACCGCCATCTTGAGCTACTTGTGAGTTTCTAGAATATTGTTAAAAGAAGTTACATTTCTGCAATATAGATTAGCAGCTTGAGTCCTTGACCTACACTCCTGCGCCCTGATCAGGAAACCGCTATCAAAAATCGTGCTTTCTATTTCAACTCACAATGTTAACTTGGGCACATTAGAGGTTAGCATAAGTCCCATTTATGATTTATTAAAGCTTTCCTAAGAACTTACTGATACGAATTTACTTTCAAAGGTGGTAATTGCTATTGGAATTTACGAAGTTGACCTTCAAATGAGCTCTAAGGCCACGATTCATTTCCTTTTTCTAAATAATGCGTGGTTGCCAAGTTTTCGACATGACTGGATATTTAGTGGATACCTTGTACATTCTTGATGGCAAAGTATAAAAATTACTTTTTCCATATATTCAAAAATTGTTGGTGGAACTGCTTCATCGGAAAGTTAGAGAACGTAATAATACCTTCATAGTCAGACCTTATAATGTTCAACTTGCTGTAAAGTTTAATTTTTTAATTCTGAAACTCGCCTCTAAGGATTTGTTTCTTTTACCGTAATCTGCACAACAGAAAATATAAAACAATAGCCAAAACTTAAATCCTTTGTGGTGACTAATGAGATTTAAAATTCATTTAAAATGCTAAATATTTTCTGAAACCTCATAATTGCTACTGTATTTATTTTGAGGCTTATGGTTATTTTTAACGAGCACATGTTATGATTTTCGCGGGTCAATAGTAAAATCGAGCCTAAGACTCAGTCAGTACCATCTAATCTTTGCATCTTGTATAAGGACCTGATAACACCCGGCTGGGAATACTAATTACATGTCTGGAGTACCTGAGGCGGCTAACTATGCGGTGTATATTTTATGCGAGTCAGTGAAGGTCAATAAGACTAATCAATGAAGCCTGCAGACATTTCTCCTCTAAGCTCATCTTCATGTACCCGTCGGGTTCTAGGTCTGTCAGGCGGACCTGTAAGACTTCTATTGCTAATTTTAACTCGATGGAGCTTTGGATGCGTATGTCCTCCAGAAGGGAAATACCGCCTCTACCAGGAATTGAAAAAAGTAGATTTAGGGCCAATTTGACCAACAACAGTCCGTTATTCTCCACCTATAGGGTAACAGCCCGTCAAATACAGCGAATGATCTTGAAGATCCAATCAACAAATTTTAGCAACCAATAGCTATGAAATGTAGTAAACAAAATACTGTCAAAGTATGAGTTGAAACATCATCAGCTTATTGAATATTAAGAAATTACATATAATTCAGTCAAAATTTTAAGAAATGTTTGATTTTTGAATTAAATTCATGATTTAATTACTATTGTTGATTTTTTATTCATGTTTATATTATTTTCTTTAATTGATATGCGATTTTACTGATTCAAGATCATCTACTGGGTGTTTTTTCTCATAAACCTCTTGCAGATAGCCATTAAGCACCTACTTGATGACTGGCTGTACCAGAAAGTTCATAGATATTGCTCGTTTCCAAACATTCATTCATTTACTTCATCAGAACCATTATGGCACCTTAGATTGATATTCCCACAAAACCATTCTGGTTTTTTAATATCCATACATCCATAAAGTTGAATATTTTTCATTGTTCAGGAACTTAACAAACATCCACACTATATTCACAGCGATTAAGAAATACCCAAATATATGTCGTAGAGCTACCAGCAAACCCAAAACCTGCAGAAAAACTAGAAATTTGCAATATTTTTTTTTCAGTGACTAGGTACATATTCTGGGTTATATTTATATTAGACGTTATTTGAATCATGCAACATATACACTGTTTTGAATAATAGCTGATTATCTCCTGATATTTTAAAACTAACCATATCGACAAGTGACACATAATTCTGTGGGATCCGTCAACACTTCGTCCCAGTGGAGAAAACTCTGCCAACTGTCGAAATAAACTTTATTAATTCTAAGTCTTATTTTTGTTTTACTGTGCCTGCTTAGATATTCAAATACGGCCAGGAATTATTAGCGCCTGGCTATTTTAGGCCTTCAATAACTCCTTATTTTAGATCTCTCCTTCTTTGTTTTTCCACGCATTCATGGTAGAAAGAAAAATATTTCATCGAATATCGATACCGTATACCGTGCAGCAGGCCCCATCACTACTTTGACAGATAGAATGATGTCAAGGTGACAATCGTTATGTGGCAGTTGTTTTTGTTTTTGTCTGAAATAGGTAAGTAGGCTTTGTGTATTATTTTTGTTTTTATAGCGTTTCCAGAATTTCATATTTCGAAACGATGTCAAGGGCCGGCAGGGGAAAATCTTTCTCTGAGAACTGAAAATCATTAAACGCGCTGTTTTCAGTCTATCTTATTCTATCCCTTGGGGAAGTACAGAATGAAGAAAATACTACAGTGCTCAGTGGCCACTCAGTGGCTCAGTGCTCGTCTGTAATGATAATATTCAAATACTACTAAACACCTAAATAGCTTTCTGGCGTTTCAATTTCGAAGCTACCAGTCCTCGCTTAGAGATGGTAGCACAGTTAAGGATAGACTCGGGGTATACGGTTACGGATGTTTATAATTCCTCTCGATATCGATCGTCATGAAACCATCGATGCGTAAAGATCGATATTCTACGCCCGATGCATCGATGTTTTCGATACATCAATGTATTGTCTATCGTCGCAATCCCTATATTGTATCCCCACCAGTCACCAGTCAAAAACCTTAACCACCAATATTTTATCACTATTTATAATTCTTCTTAGCTCTTATTTTTCAGTAATTACTAATCATTTTAGGTCTATGTCTACAGTAATTGCATTATGCACCTCGGAGATGTAGGGATTAACATGTTTTACACATATCGGCGTTTTAGGATGGGGACGACCATACTGTTTTGATTGCTTTGAAGAAATTCATTAACCCATGAATTTATAACAAATGATTACTATTGTGATGTAAAGAGAGATGAGGAATTGGTAGGAATACATTTTACATTCTATTTTCTTGCAAATCCGCACAATTCAACAGGTATGTGTTGCTACAATGATCACATATACACACAGTATATTGAACTTAACAAATTTCGAGATTGCCATGAATTAACAAACCACCAAACCTGCTGCGAAATTTAACAGCTAAAAAATCGACCTATTATTTCTCCCATTCCCATTCGCTGAGGGGATAACTGATGGTCAAATGTACACCTATAACATAAATCAAATTATATGAAAGTTGTCCTGTTTTCTCTGTACAAAAGCATCACGTTGGAATCCAAAAGTGGTCTTGTTTATAATACAGTCGAATTTTCACGATTTTATTCAACATTTTAATAGAAATCACTGATATTTTGAGACCTTTGACAGCTTTCGTCAAATTGAATTTCGATAAGGTATTTTCCTATTGGTCCATAATATTAATGTTGGTGAAATCGGCCCTTAGTCTCGAGTTGTGTCTCGTATAATAACATAATATTCAGGGTGTCTGTTAGAGATTGGGAACTCTCGAAACTGGAGATACTACAGACCAAAATATGACCTAAACATACCTCTGTCCAAAAGTTGATAAATTGCGAGGTACAGGGTGTCAAAGTTACAATTTT